TGCTCAGATGAATAAAATCTGAAAGTTCATTACCTGACAGACAGACACACACACACAGATACTCACCTTGTACTGGGGATTGAATCCAGGTTTTCTGGAGTATTCAGCACACATTCTGGGGCTGGGGATTAAGCTCATTGGTTCTGCTGCCTGCCTCACAATCGAAAGGTCCCTAGTTTGTTCCATGGTACCAAAAAAAACCCCCACACGTTCTGCTGCTGAGCTACACTCTCAAGTTTAGATTGCTTTTTAAGTAGGTGGGAGATGGCATAGGTATAAAGTCTTAGGAAGAAATGATGATCAAAACGCCAAGTAAATGGATAAATTAATAAAAAAAATTGACCAGATAAACAATAATGACAGTGTCTTGTGAGGTTAAAGAGAGAAAAGGGGCTGGACATGGTTCAACACTTAGAAGGATTAGCGTGAGTCCAAGGCCAGCCTGAACTACATAGTGAGACCCTGTCTCAAAAAGCACAAATGATCATTTTGAGAAATTCCAGTGTGTCATTTTTTTGTTGTCATAGAGTAGAATATCACTATAATATTGAACATAATATGCAGATGTTGAGATCTCTTATTAGATACCCTGGGAAATTTATGAGCTGTCCTACTGTGGAAAAAATGGCATCTTTAATTCCCAAGCCTGCTTAAGATACCACCATATTAATTATACAATGAAACTCTAGATGGGTTCCACAGTGATTGTACTAGGTTTATTTGAACTCTTCTAAAATTCTCCTTGTAAGAAGAAAATGTTCCTTCCTAAAATGTCGCTTGAGGTCTTGACATAAATCTGTACTTTGCTAAATTGTCTTATATTTATCTACTTTTTTTAGCAGTTAGTCTAGAAATTGGTTTAGTGGTTGTGTTAATTATTTAGCTAAGCTAATTATATTTACCACCACCACCCCGTGCGAATTACAGTACTGTATATTTTTCTTTTTCTTTTTTTTTTGGTTTCTTGAGATAGTGTCTTACCATGTAGTTCAGGCTGGCCTTGAACTAACTGTGTAGCCCAGGCTGGCCTCAAATTTATGGCATTCCTCCTGCCTCAGCCTCTCGATTGCTGGGATTACAGGCATGCACCACCATGCCTGGCTCTACACATTTGCTTTATGAAGCAAACTGATTGTGTATATTATTAGTGCTTTGCCAGTGAATGGTTTTAGTTTAAGACAGAGTTTCATATAAAACTAGAATTTTCCAACGAAAACACAGTTTTCTTTAAAAAATTTGGGTATGTGTATATACACCTTTTTCTAGCAGTGTTGCATATTATTGTACATTCCTGAAAATGCTAAAATTGTGCACAGCTGCTGGGTCAGCTCACCCAAAACATTGTAGATTTGTGTCAGAATGGTAATGAAAATAGTGAGAACAGAATATTTTAAAACATGAGTCATAAATAAATACTATAGTCAATTTAGGATTTTTTTTTTTTTAAAAGATGAAGATCTGAAAGGAAGGTTGAAGCTACAGCAGTGTAGTGAGTGTGAGATGCATGAGAGGAGCTCAGTAAGCATTTCCCAGAAAGAGCTTGTGGCCACGCTGCGCCCGCCTGAGAGGGGGAGCCTGGGTTGAATGAAAATTGTATTCAGCACTGTACATTCAGTAGCTCGCTGCTTTCCACTGAGTGAGCGTGTTTTGGGTTTAGCTGTTGTTATTGATAGTGCAAAAAACATAGTCTGGGCAAAGTCATGTACAAACTAATGTGATTTTTATGTTGTGCTAAAGCTGATGCCATTTTTAACTGATGAACTAATTTGTATTACAGAAAAGCTTTGTAACAGAATAAGAATCTTAAGAAGTGGCTTCTGTTTTTGTCTTAAGCTTTCTGATAAGTCTATGACCTTTTTTGAATGGACTTGTGAATGTGTATATGGGGGGAGGGACAGAGATTTAGGTCAGTGGTGCCACCTGCTTCCTAAGTGCAAGGTCCTGAGTTCATCCCCCATACCGGAAAAAAAAAATTTGCAAGAGAGAGGAGGGAGGGAGGGAGGTTAGAAGGAGAGGGAGGAAGGGGGAGGGAGAGGGAGGGAACTAAAAGTGTTTATTTGTTAAAAGGGTCTTGCTATGTAGTTCATTCTGGCCTTGAACTCACTATGTAGACCAGGCTGGCCTTGAACTTGATATCCTCCTGCCCCACCCTCCCGAGTGCGAGCCACCACGCCCGGATTTAGATAGTCATTTTAAATGGCTACTAAATATTATATTGAATAGATGTGGTTTAGTTACCATTTCTCTGTTGTAGGATATGTAAGTCACTAATAGTTTTTCATTATCTTTAGTGTTTGGACATTTGGTGGAAGAGGAAGAAGAAAAAAGGCACTGTCTTTTTCTTTATATGGGATTGTTTTATCAAAGTGACTTGTTGGAATTGTTGGAACTTGGGACCTTGCACTTGCGAGGTGGGGGCCAAAACCACAGAGCTAAATCCCTGGCCCTGATAACTTTTGATATATATTGTCAGTTGGCTTTCCAAAATGGTCCTAGGTCCTTCCCCAAGTTTGTACATTATATGGTGCCTGCCTGTAATCCAGCACTCAGGAGGATTGTGAGTTAAAGACCAGCTTGGGCTATATATCAAGATGCTGTCTCAAAACAAGACAAAACCAAAATTGTACATTACATATATTTTTAAACTATTACTAATAAGGCAAATACAAATATTTTTAGTACTAATATCTGTTCTTACTATATACCGGAGCTAAGTACATTACATTCAGTGTCACAGTTTGGTTTTGTTTTTCGTTGATCATTAGTGAAGCTGGATGTTACAATTGATTTGTAAGAAAAGATCATTTGCTTATTTATCTTTTGTGGTGGACTTAGTGTTCTAAGTGGGTAGTGTTCTAAATTGTTCTGAAAGGATAGTTTAAGAAGTTATTTTTTTCCTCTTAAAATACAATGACAGGGGCTGGGGATTTAGCTCAGTGGTTCCGCTGCCTGCCCTGCAAGCACAAGGACCCGAGTTCGATCCCTGGTACCAGAAAAAAAGTACAATGACAATTCAAATATTAATAACAGGAACGTAGCCTCTCATTGTCCATACTTGATTTTTAAACTTTGTGTACAAAGTCTACACTTTGTGTAATTCTTTGACATTTTTGGTACCATACTATTGCTTTACACATTAAAGTAATGGAATTTTATTGTAAACTTGTAATTAAGAGGAATACCATATTTGCCACAATCTAAATTAGTTTCTGATGAAACTATTTAATCAGTAGTGACTGAGACTGACTTTTGAGTACATGTTAACTCATTCCTTTTTAAGTACAGTGATGTTGCTAAAAATAGAAGTCTCTTAACTTTAATGGACAAAAGACATAGATGTTGAATTCATCCTGGTGTATAATTTTGGCTGTACATTTTGTTAGTTTTAGAACCTTAGGGAGATGGCTTACATTAATTCTCAAAGCAGTTAATATAGCATTTGGTACAGAGTGTATGTTGATTTTATTTATATATATATATATATATATGGGGGGGAGACCACCACCAAAGTATACATCAGGAAAAGAAAAACTTGTATAAATATTTTAATATTAAATTTATTAGACATCATGAGATTAACACGTTACCTTGACCTCGACAATTACAAGAGGTGCCCAAAGTGGTGACCATTGTTTTCCAGATAATTTATTAGTACGACAAACTGCTGAAGTGTGTATACTTTTTTTTTTTTTTTTTTTTGAGACAGGGTCTTACCATGTAGTTCAGGCTGACTTTGAACTCACTGTGTAGCTCTGGCTGGCATCAAACTTGCAGTGATCCTCCTAGTTCAGCCTCCTGGGTGCTGGGATTACAGGCAAGTGCCACCACACTGACTGATCACATTTTAAAGTCTCTATGGAACCAGGCGTGGTGGGGCGTGCCTGTAGTCCCAGCACTTGGGAGACTAAGGCAGGACGGTTGCAGTGAGTTCAAGGCCAGCCTGAATGCATAGGGAGACCCTGTCCCCCCAAAAAATGTTACTATGTTGAAGTCATAGAAATAGCAGAATGGTGGTTACCAGGTGCTGTGGGGGAAGCGGTGGACAGAGAAAGGAGAGATGTTAGTCCAAAAGTTTTAGTTACACAGAAGGACTGAGATCTAATCCTCCATTGCACAGCATGGTGACTGTAGTCACAATTGCTAAAACAATCGATTTCAAGTGCTCTTACCACAAGGAAGTAAAAAATGTGTGAAGTCTGGATGTGTTCATTAGCTTGATTTGATTATTGTATAATGTATACATTATCTTAATATCATTAAAATTAAATAATTTGAAAACATACTTTTAGTACAATATGCTTGAAAAATATTAGAAATGGTTTATGTGTTTTTTGCTCTTACAACTCTGGGCCTCAAACTCAGGGCACTCTGCTACTGAGTACCTCCACCCTCAGACCTTTAAATTTTATTTGGAGACAGGGTCTTGTTAAGTTGGCCACGCTGGCCTTGAACTTGTGATCCTCCTGCCTTAGCCTCATGAGTAACTGGGATGGTTTACCTTTTTATAGTAAATATTTCAGATTTGAGGAAAGGGTATATTTGGAATTACTGTTTAAATACTATTTCAAATTTGATTATTTTCAGAATGAAGCTATATGTATGACTATTACAGTAAAATATAGATCATTCAGGAATATAGATTATGAAGTCTTATAATTCAAAGATATAGCCCATTTGTTTTTAGTAATAATAACCATTATTATTAAGTGGTTATTGTAGGCTAGGTACCAGTTGTATTATTTAATTTTGTTAATATACTCATACATATGTTATAAAACTGCATTTTATTTACAGCTGTTTCAAATAATAACTTTTGTTCTTCGTATTATAACTATCAGTATCTTCATTATAAGAATACTATGCTTAAATATTATATGGGATAACTAATTGCAAAATTTCTCTGATTTGGGGATATTTATATATATACACCGTATTTCCTTTCTCCAGAATTTATGAATCTTGGGTATTACATTGATTGATGATTCTTTTCTTTGTTTCAGACCTATAAGAGTAAATGGGTCCAGTCATTGGAATGACTCCAGATAAGAGAGCTGAAACCCCAGGAGCTGAAAAAATTGCAGGACTAAGCCAGATTTATAAAATGGGAAGCTTACCTGAAGCTGTGGATGCTGCCCGGCCAAAGGCTACTCTCGTGGGCAGTGAGTCAACAGATGATGAATTGACAAACTTGAACTGGCTTCATGAAAGTACTAATCTTCTTACAAACTTCAGCTTCGGTGGTGAGGATCTTCCAGTGGTTAGCCCACTGTATGACATAGAGGGAGATGATATGCCATCCTGTGGACCATCCTGCTACCAGAACCCAGAAAAAAAATCAACCACCTCAAAGCCCCCGTACTCCTTTAGTCTTCTCATTTATATGGCTATAGAACACTCTCCAAATAAATGTTTGCCTGTCAAAGAAATTTATAGCTGGATTCTGGACCGTTTCCCGTATTTTGCTACTGCACCAACAGGGTGGAAAAATTCTGTTCGACATAATCTATCTCTAAATAAATGTTTTCAGAAAGTGGAAAGAAGCCACGGCAAGGTCAGTGTTTATGAACATTGCTATATGAGGGGAGTTTAACATGGAATTCTTAAAATGTGGACAAATCAAAGATAAAGTCAAGTCAGATTACTTTGAGATTAACATTAGCTCATCATTCCATTTTACTTGAGATATTTTTAAATTTCTTAAGTATTTCTCTTTTCTTTTCTTTTTTTTTTTTTTGGTACTGGGGATTGAACTTGGGACCTTGTGCTTGCGAGGCAGTCACTGGAACCACTGAGCTAAATCCCCGGCCCCAATTTCTTAAGTATTGATAGAAATCTTAGCAGAATTATGTTCAGTGTACTATAGTTACCTAGATTATGCTTTTCAGTGTCCCAGTGTTCTTAGATTTTTAGTATTTCTGTAATTCCTGTTTATTCTGTGTGACATCAGTCTTATAAAGTGTAGACCATTTATATTGATGTAAATGATATGATTGGGTTTAAATCTAAGTTTACTTTGAAAATGTGCTTTGAAAAAAGAACAGATTTTCCATAGGTAGGAGCAGCAGTATACTCTGCATGCAGGGAGTTCCCATGTTCTCTATGGGGGAGAACACAGGAGAGCAGTGTGGACAGGTGGCGTGCATATGAAGGAGGGGTAAATATCATGCATTGTTTGCATTTCAGTTTTGAGGTCAATTCAGAAAACATTTTAAGACAAGGATATGTTGAGATTTTCCTTTATTTCACTTGTGACAATGGGAATGGTCAAGCAATACTGTCTTATGCAACATAAATTCCTTGCCACAGGAAAAGTTAAGTAACTGTGCAAATGGAGTTAGTTCAGTGAAGATAAGGGATTTGAACAATTGGTAATTTGAATAGTTGATCTACCTGCCTCATGTCTATATCCATTGACTTGTCTTGGCCAACCTAAAACTACATCATGGGATAAGATCAGCTTTAGAAATTAATCTTTTCCTTGATTTGTATTATTTTGCAATTTATTCTTGCATGCCTAGACTCCATCTTTTTCTTCTACTGTTAACCTTTTAAACTTTAGTGTTCCCTATTTTCCCTTTTTGGTTGTTTCAGTGTTTTCTTGGGTAATCAGGTCCATTGCCATGGCTTCATATACTATCTGGATTCTAGTGACACCCAGATCTTTCTTAAAGGCCAAACCTAAACTTGCAACTAATTGTTAGACCTAGAAGCTTCTCAATCTCAGTTTATACAAAATTGAATCTTACTTTCCCCTCTTATCTCTTAGGGCACTTGTGTTGAACCTATGGCACACATGCTGCAGCCAGCTGTTTGTTATCATTGAAAGCTCTAAAAGGTTCACCATCACTGTCCTAGGGTGTATCTGTATTTTAAGCCAAAAATCTGAGTCATCATGGATATCTACCTTTCACAGTACCTAATTATTTAAATGTTAAACTTGAAGGGAATTTAGAGATTATCCTGATGACCTTTCTTATTTTATAGTCAGGTAAATGAGACTCCAGATAGGTAATGTTAATTGACTATTGAAAAGCCAAAGTTTAGAGTCCATAAAGCACAGTACCTGCTGTCACCCATACATACCCAAGAATTATTGATTCCAGCGATTTCCTTCAGTTTCTACTGTAATAATTGGCCTAGTTCAGGTCTTTCTCATTTCTCATCAGATTGAACTATAATATGAATATGTATAAATTGAGGAGTCAGGCTCATCATAGAGGCACACACCTGTAAGTCGAGCACTCTGGGAGTCTCAGGTAGGAGGATGGCAAGCTTGAGCTCAGCCTGAGCAACTTAGCAACTCTTAGTGAGATCCTGTCTCAGAATTTAAAACTTTTAAAAGGGGGCTAGAAATGTAGTTCAGTGCGAAGGCCCTGAATTCAGTCCCTAGTTGTAGGAAGGTAATAGGTAGGTAGGGGTAGGTGTGTGGGTGGATGAATGGATGGATGGATGGATGGATAGAGTCCACATGGAGGATTAGAATCAGATGTTCCTAGACTCAGATGTGTGACTTGAAATTAGTCTTATTTTACTTCAGTTTTGTGACTAGTGAACTTAATAATAGAGTAGCTTATATAATATTAAATAAAAGCTAGACGTTTTGGTGTAGTTTTCACGGTTCTCCAGAATTTGACCTCTTTGCAGCCCTTTTCATCAGTCCATGACCTACCTTTCATTATGTTACTAGCTATTCCATTGTACTACAAAAAGTTGTTGCTTATTTTGTTTGATCTATCTAATTCTCTGTGGAGTTCCCTGTTCCTCAGAGCCCAGCTACCTCTCAAGCACTTCCTTCATGTGCACATCCACTTAGTATTCATACAGCATTTTATACAGTACATACCAGTTATGTACAAATTTATGTCTTCCACCAGGGCAGGTGTGAATGTGTGTCACAAGCTAATGTGATCCTTATTTCAGTTAAAATGGAAACAAAAACTCAGGCAACAGCATGAATTTATAGCCAAAAGCTTTAATTGGAGAGGAAGAGAAAATGGAGAAGGGTCTTGACACAGCTTTCAGAGATCAGGCTGGCTCCATAACAAAGGAACATAAAAGAAAAATGGAGGACTTCAGTTGAGGAAGTGAAGGGGGCATAGCTTTGAGAGATAAGACTGGTCTGTTAACAAAGGGAAGGAGTCAGTTTTTAAAGGGTTACTGAGATGGGTCAGGGTCTGCTTGATTATTATCTCAGTCTTGGTTGAGAAGTCTGTGACTTGAGGGGGCAATCTGGTTTCCAGGAGATGACTGTTTCTTTTTTGGGTGGTGCTGGTGGTGGGTGTCTCCCTGTTGTGGAGGTTCTGCTGAAATCCTAGGCAACTTCAGGATTATGGCAATGACTGGACACTTGGAGGTGCCCCTTCCAGGGCATAAAAGATAGTAGATGAATGTTCCTGCAAATCTTTTTATCTTGGTGTCCCAGTTTTATGGTTAACATGCCTATATGTGGAGCCGAGCAGGGATATAACCCAGAGTTTTTTGTTTGTTTGTTTTGGGGATTGAACTCAGGACCTTGTGCGTGCAAGGCAGACGGCAGCACCACTGAGCTAAATCCCTGGCCCTAACCCAGAGTTTTAAGATAATAAAGGAGACAGATTCAAAGTAATTTTTAATTACCCATTGGGCATCTGTAGGCCCAAGTAAATAGTTTTTAAGCAAAAGCAGCTAAGTCCCTGTCTCAGAATAAAACATAAATCATGCTTTTAATTTGTATCAGGTTAAGGGCTTGTTAGTTTGTCCTCTGTCCTTCTGTGATCATACCCAGCAGTTTTATTTTCTCATGTAGTTTATGTAGTTTATTTTTGGAGACACTTGGCAAGGTCATCCTGGCTTTAGTGATGCACTGGGAGAGTGGAGGGTGATGAGGGAAGAATACATACCACACTTTTAATGGGCAACTGGTCCTGAGTGAGGGCCCAGGCAGGGGTGCACCTGCCTTTTGTCCCCTTGGTGGTCTCTGTCCTACATGATCAAAGAATTTATTATAGTAGTCACTGGGTTATCTTTCTAGGTATCCCCTAACACTGTGATGTGATCATAGGTGGGTATGAAGATTCCACCCATGCTCCTAAGCACAACTGAATGTTCCGAGGTAGGCAAAGACAGTTGGTTCTCTTCCCCTCTTAGATTGAGAAAGAGAATCTCCTGAGAAATCCACAACCTTTTCAAAAGCTCAACTTTTTTTTCATTTTAATGCATTATTTTATTTTATTTTATTTAATGGTAACCTGTGGATGGACATTTAAGTTTCTAATTTTTTGTTATAAAACACTGCTGCAGTGAAAGTAGTACATACATTTTTTGCTTGCTTGTCTAATTTCTTCCTCAAGCTAAATTTCTTGTCAGATTGTTGCAGTAGAAACTGGATGTGATAGTGCACACCTATAATCCCAGCACTTGGGAGGCTGTGGCAGGAAGAACGGTGTGGGCTACATAGTGAGTTCCAGCCCAGTCCGAACTACATAGCAAGGCCCTGTTCCCCTCCCCAAATTGTTGCAATAGTGAATATGCACATTAAAATTGTTGATACATATCACCAATTTACCTTTCAAATGAGAAGTAACAATACATTTTTCCTAACAGTTTTTCCATATCAGATTTTCCATACTTCGGCCAGCACTAGGCAATGTCTTTTTTAATCTTCAATCTAATGAAAAGTAATATGCCATTATAATTCTTTCTCTTCTTCCCTCCCCTCTCCTACTGACTCCTCCCTTTCCCCCTTACCTTAGTTACTTTTCTCTCATTGCTGGGACAAAATACACGACACTCAAAGTTAGAGGAAGAAAGGTTTATTTCGCTCACAGTTTATAAAGGTTTCAAATCATAGTTGGCTGGCTCCAAGGCAGGGTAGCAAGGCAGACAGGCAACACTGAAGAGAAACAGTTCATGGCGGGCAGAGCAATAAGGGGGACAACCATAGCTCTTTCTATCCTTTATATCTTGTCCAGGCTACTTAGGACAGGTAGTATTCACACTCTTAATGCTAGTGCCCTTTCCCAGCGTCACACACTCTTACCAACTCTGAAAAAGCCCCACCTATGACTGCATGAGGCTTTAGGGGGACATCTAGGCACAAACCGTAACAGCCCTCTTTCAGTTTCTTCTCTCTTTTTTTCTCTCTTCCCCTCCAGGAGGGCTGAGCTACATCCCCAACCCTTTTTATTCTTTTACTTTGATCAGGCTGACCTGAAACTCACTGTCCTTCTGCCTCAGCTTCCCAAAGGCTGGGATTACAAATGTGCATCACTACACCTGGCTATAATTATATTTCTTTGTTTATTCAAATTAGAGATATTTTGTTAGCCTCTAGTTCTTTTATCATATAAATTAAGACATTATGTCTAGTCTATTTGTTAAGTAAGTAAATTGCTAAGTAATAGTAACAGCTACATTATGGAGTATATAACATACCAGAGATCTATATCCTTAACTATTAAGATCTATATCCTTAACTATCCTTAACTATATAGTATACTACTACACTATACTAAATCAATATCTAAAATTCTTCTGCCTTAGCTGTAATTTAGAAATTGAGTTTTTTGTAAT